GATGGGAGTGGGCTGCTGTCAATGCCACCTTGAGTGGGGGCAGAAACTGCTGGAGACCAATGTGAGGCTGCCAAGGGAGCCCATATGCTAAGGGAGCTTGGTGACACCCACGGTGCAAAATGAGGATCGGAGGAGACAGCCGGCTGAGCAGCAGCAGCTGGCCCGCGCAATGCTAAGGCTTCCTGGGCGACAGCAGCAGCAGAAGGAAAAGCTGCACTGGACGAGCTGGGCGACGGCGTTGGCAAGGGTTCAGTTGGTACTGAAGTCCGTGGTGTATTAAAAGGCAGATAAGTAAAAGGATGTTGGGCAGCAGTGCCTGGCATTCGCAGAGTGAATGGTACTGGGGCGTAAGCAACTGCAGAAGAAACAGCTGCTGTGAAAGAACTGGGCAGAGGTCCGGGTAGCGCTGAATCAGACGAAGAGGTGGGAAAAAATCTCGGGACCGAAGCGGAAGCTGAGGCATTAGAGGTCCACATGACTTGTGGCGCGCGAGCGCGAGCTGATGGGACCGCAGCAGGTCCGGGAGCAGCAGACATTGCATAGACTTGGAGACGCCCCGGTGCAGCAGGCGACGATACATGTCGAGGTAAACTTGCCGCTCCATGGCGAAGCACTGAATTGCCGTATCCGGGAATCTGTAAAGGCGACTGCTTACTCTGAGCTGCAGGAACACCAGCAGTAGCAGTGGAAATGCTGGGGGACGCAGAAAAGGGAGTTGATCCTTCCGCGCCAGCCCGTCTCTGTGAGTGTTGGGGTGGATGTTTTGACCACCCCAGGGAGTGACGAGGAAGGTTTGGCTCTTGCTGAGGAAGCACCCTATCGCTTTGGGAAAGTTCCTGCTGGGCAGAGGAGGTGGCTGCTTCCTGCTGTGCGTCGACTTCCTCTGTGAGTGTCTGCTGCAGGGATACATTTCCCGAACCTAGAGGAGTTGCGCGTAGGGCTTCTAGGAGTTCGCTATGGGTTTTCAGGGGTCTCTGTGTTAACCATGAGAGACGCCTGGTGCTCATTAAGCCGTAGTGAGGCTTTTGGTGATGCACCTCCCGCATCCAGGCGCTCAAGATCGGATCCACAAAGAATTGTTTCTTACGTCTGTGCACGGTTAACTCGATAGCCCTCACAACAGCATCAAGTAAACACTCTGCGGGAGCTTCAGGTAAGTCGGGAGTTGCAGTAGCCCCTGCCGTAGCTGCAGCGGCACCTTTGGCAGCTGAAGCAGCGGCTGTGGGGTCATCACCTGCTTCTGTAGAGCTTTCAACAGCTTTTGTCAGGGCGGAGATCCCGTATTTGAGCTGCGTCAAGGCCATATCTTGCAGTTCCAGCAACTGCTTGAGTTTTAGCAGCCGCTGCGTCATGGAGAGTGTCGATGCAGCCGGCTCAACATTTGGGAGGCTGCCGAGGAGCGAGAGAAGAAATTTCAGATGCCGGCGCCGTGATTGGGTAAGGCCTGACCCGCAAAGGCTAATGTAGACGGGCCCTATTGCGGTGGATATTGAAGGTATTGTTTCTTCTATGCCGGCCCTCTCATCTCTTCCCAACAGCGAGAGCAAAGCGGAGACCTCTACCAAAGATAGACATAAAAACTCTGCAACGAGCCTGGCTCTCATGTCACGATCCAGCTGCAGAAACACCCACTCGTTTCCACTTAGAAGGTTCGCCAGTTCTGCGACATACTGCCGAGCACGCTCCAACAACTCATCTTTGACAAGAACTTCTCCCTCTCGCTCGACCCCAGCAGCACCAGCTGCTGCTTCAGGCTGATCATCGTCCTGAACCGTGCAAGGCTCTCCTGCCTCTTTCCTTGTTGTCTCTTCTGCTTTTGCCAGAAATCTCAGTGCCACCCTGCTCTTGCTGGCGTTGACCAAATACACAGCGCAGCGGAGCACTAGGTACACTGCCGTAA